AGTACAGGCTGGGGGCTGACCTGCTGGAAAGCAGCTCTGCAGAGAGGGACCTGGGAGTGCTGGTGGACAACAAGTTGACCATGAGCCAGCAGTGTGCCCTTGTGGCCAAGAAGGCCAATGGGATCCTGGGGCTGCATTAGGCAGAGTGTTGCCAGCAGGTCGAGGGAGGTGATCCTGCCCCTCTACTCAGCCCTGGGGAGGCCTCACCTGGAGTCCTGTGTCCAGTTCTGGGCCCCCCAGTACAAGAGAGACATGGCACTACTGGAGAGAGTCCAGCGGAGGGCTACAAAGATGATGAGGGGACTGGAGCATTTCTCCTATGAGGAAAGGCTGAGAGAGCTGGGCCTGTTCAGCCTGGAGGAGAGAAGACTGAGGGGGGATCTCATCAATGTGTACAAGCATCTGAAGGGAGGGTGTCAAGAGGATGGGGCCAGTCTCTTCTCCGTGGTGCCTAACGACAGGACAAGAGACAACGGGCACAAACTGAAACACAGGAAGGTCTGTCTGAACATGAGCAAAACTTCTTTCCTGTGAGGGTGACTGAGCCCTGGAACAGGTTGCCCAGAGAGGTAGTGGAGTCTCCTTCCCTGGAGATATTCAAAAACCTGCCTGGACGTGATCCTGGGCAATGTGCTCTAGAGGACCCTGCTTGAGCAGGGAGATTGGACTAGATGATCTCCAGAGGTCCCTTCCAACCTTGGCCGTTCTGTGATTCTGTGAACCAAAGCTTTTTTCCCCATTTCTTCTTAAGCAGGCAGAAGTAGTACACCCTTTCCTTTGAACATGGTCATTGGTGTCTTGGTTGAACTGCAAAATAAATTAACTAGTCTTCTCCCAGAAGTGCTGCTGCAAACAGCCACCGGCAATGTTCACAACAAGCCCGCAATGTCTTAGGTGGCTTCCTAGTCTTCTTGATCAACGGGAAAATCTGTCCTTGTGAGGATTTCATCTGTCACCTAGCTACAGAGGTCAGTGGGAGGATTGGATGCAGTTGGCATTAATAAGATATAAAGCACAAGAAGTGATCCTATAATACAGGTTATAAATATAGGGCCAAGTTCACACATAGTTTTAAAATATTACTACTTTCATGGGATGGTCACAGATTCTCTGATCATTTAGAGCCTTTTGCTCCTTTTTTGACTGATCCTCAGTTTTCAGAAGTTTTTGCTGTGTGTCTCGTCTCACCATTCCTGTTACTTCCCGGAGTGAGTGGGAAGATCCTGTTCCCCTCGTCCGAGGAGGTCGGACTAGCTCATGTCCCAGTATCAGAAAGAGGATTTGACTGTGATTTCATCTTTAAATGATCTCATCTATTTTATTTCTCATACTGATAGTATCACAAATGGTCTAATTGTGCAATCGATTTTTAATCAGTGAATCTAATGGAGCATGCTGATTTGAAGCCAATGAGTCAATATTTTCTGAGGATAGAGAAGTGGAAAATATAACAGGCAATTGCTGTATATTATAATAATAGCCTCATATATTTTGTCTCTGTCAATGCACAGATAACTTGAAGCTAAATAATTTAATTCCAGGAAAAAAGTTATATTGAGTACAGGCTCAGTGGTAAATGTACAATTAATCTCATTGAATTCAAATTATTATGTCCATTTGGACGAATCATGGTTCTTCATGGCCAATGAGAGGTCTGTAACCAGCTTCCATCACTCTGTATCTGATACATCAGGTCTTCTGTAGACATTTCATTATCATCCCTAGCAGAAGTGACCTCTTTGTGAGGTTCCTCCAAGGTATTCTGAAGAGCACATATCTCACCCTCATGATAGATCTCTTACTGTATCAAGTATCAGTTATTAGGTGAAAAAGAAAAATCTAGGCAATCTTCTCTCTGGTACTTACACACCAAAATGCAGAACCAAATCGTATGTGCTGAACATTACACTGTTATGAAGTATTGGTACCCTCACATTATTTTTCATGAACAAAACAGAAACATTTCCTATTAACATTTATTTGCAAAGTACTGTTGCTTTGCTTGAATGACATGAAAAAAGATTTTTCCACAGATGAGAGATGAGGAAAGGAGAAATCGGATCCTGCTTAGCAAATGCATATGGCCCTGAACCCAAAGGGGAATGGAGCAGCAGGGTTTGCCACAGCTCAGGGAGACTATTTCTGTGCAGATCCCTTGTTTAAATGTTGGCAACACATTATTGATTAGCACCTGCTTCCCATATTCAAATGGGACATTGTGAGTTTATAGTTCATATAAAATGTTTCCTCAGGTGCAAGGACTGAGGTGGTGTGTTTGTGCAGTTATTGTTAAGCTGGGAGTGAAATTAATTCAAATGACTTGTGAATCTCCATGGAAGCAGGAAATGGGAAGTACCAATTTCCATGAGGTAGGACACACTTAGACAAATTGGGCTCTTGGTTACACCTCTGCCTTTTCAGCCATTCCAGGGTCCCGCAGAGATGGGAATGGGGCCAGGATCTGGCCTGGAGTCGCTGTGCCTCAGTCTGTCTCAACATAAAACTTTGACAGGTTCCCTTGCTCTTCTCCCCCCGCAAGCTTTTCTGTTTTAATTCCAGATAACTTATTTTTGGCCAGCGTACAGTGGGAAGCTATCCAAGCTTTTTCCACTGACTTTATTCTCCATACTGGCAATCACAGCTGTCATGACTTCATAACTATGAAACAGTACTGCGGGCTGGGGTACAATCCTGCTGGCCCAGGATTGTACTTGTCTGGCAGGAGATATGAAATGGCAAATGCAACCTGTATAATGCTTGACTTCATGCTGCGTTATTGTAGAAAAACACTTTTATCATGAACACAAATCACTACCTCTTTTTTTTTTCCTTTTGCTTTTCTTTAGCTCAGATGGTCAATATTTTCATCACACTCTAACCGCTAAAGAAGAAATGTGTTCATGAAGTCCATAAATAAGAATGGGTTATACTGACCCAGGCTGAATACCTGTGGTAAAACCCTGGTCCTCTACAGGCCATGGCAAAGCTCCCACTGACTTTATTTGGGCCAAGAGTTCACTCTTAACCTTTCTTTTCCCTGTACTACATGAGATGCTGGGACTATATCCTGATGAAATACACATGTAGATCTACTTATATGGCAGTCTTATTATATTTTTTGCCTTTTCTATGGAAACTGTCTGAAAAAATAATATGAAGTGACTGTTAAACATACCGCTGAATTTGTCGCTATGCGCCCCCATTCTCAGACACAGTTCTGCTAGGGAGCTGCTCCACACTGTTCACAGTGATTTTGGTTGCAGCAAAACACCAAATTCAACCCTGAACTAGGGGGAAAATTGGAATCCTACAAACCTGTATCTAGTTGAGATGTGGTAACAAGGCTTGGGCTGTATTGTGCAGCAATGGTTAGCTTTTCTCTCTGCTTTCTTTGCATGCTTTCCTGAATGGTGAAATAGTGAATGGTTGTGACATTTAAGTTAATGACTAAGCACCAGAGCTAGCACTTCTCTGGGATGTTTCAGGCAATTTGCCCCCTTTTCAGGGTTTCAGTCTCTTTGGAGACTTTAACAGACATCAAGGCATTGGTTTCCACGTGGTCTTTGTTTAGAAGAACTACCTGCTCAGTCACACAAGTTAGCAACTCCTATGACACAGAAAGCTCATGTTCTGCAACACATTTCACGGTGCTCAGATACACCTCTTATTTCATCTGTTTCTTTTAGTGTGCCAGCTTTACTTTAGCAATCATTTCTATCTGATTTTTACCCATCCACTACTAAACTGTCACTGGGAGTGTATGAATATATCTGCAATTACATACAAAAGACTGAGTCTGGCTCTACAAGAGGAGGCAGGTGACAATACTTAGTATTTATCAGGGCAGTATTTTTCTGTGGCTCTCACCCAATCTTCTGTTATATCCTGCTGGCCATGTTGCAGCACTATGAATTCTCATGGAAATTTGAGAGATTTGGTCATATGTTTGATATACGTATATGTATGTATATTTGTACACAAGTTTTATACACCTACATGAGGTAGAAGTGACTTTCCTTCCCTCCTGCCCCACTTCTTTGTGCAAAGATTATATCCATACAGAATACACACACACTCATATATAGATAGGGACATATTATATAAAAGTGTTGTTTCATTTTTTATGCCCTCTGCCTTAACTACTTTCTGTTGCTTTGGCAATCACATTTGGTTGGAGGTGAAACAGATTTATTGATGGTTTTGCATCAAGTTGAGAGGTAAAATGCCTAATGCTATATTTTGCTTCATTACAGTTCTGTCAAGTGCAGCACTGCTCCGTTGGCAACGATGCGCCCATGAACGGGTCGTTCTGCGGGGAATGGCTCCACAGCGCCGAGATGTTTGTGGTGTGGGTCTGCGGTGTCACTCCGCCTTCGTCTGGACTTGTCAATCACGGGGTCGTTGGAGGGTGCGCCCCCAGGCCGCAGCGACCCCGCAGTGTGGTGGCGCCGGCCGTGGCGCACCCGGCGTTCGTTAACGCCTGGGGAGACCCCAGAGCGAGCCCCTCTTCGCTGGGCTGCGCCATCCCGCAGTCCCACCCTTGCCTGCGTGGCGCCTGTCAGTGACTGAGAAACAGTCTTTTGCCTCAAAGTCCTGCCAGACTGTGATTAAATTCACTAGTACATACCAGTGACAACAACAGCGATGGCTTTTTCTTTTTGTTGCTCCAACTCATGTGGGAAGAACTCATCTTTGCCTTATTTAGAAATAAACTTTTTTATTATGAAACTATCCACTATGTTAACACAGAGGGAGACTCAGACTGTTTGACTTTCCTAATCTTTATTTGTTTTTGATTTTAAAATATTTAAAGACAGAAAAAAATAAGATTAGAAAATCAAGCATTGTGAAAGCCATATACAAAGGGAAGATTAGAGAATCAAACATTCTGTCTCTCCCCACTCAGCAATTGCATCACCACCATAGTACCTCCTTCACACAATTGCACCAACTCTTGGGAAACAGCTGACCTGCCATCAAAAGGCAACAAAACAAACAGATTAAGGGAAATTTGAAATACCTCTCAAAAGCTTCTTTTTCAATGCCACTTAACAGCCAGGGGCTCATGCACTGCTAAAGGACAGGTTAAGGAGATGTGTACCATTGCTTGCATTTTCAGATTGACTGTAGACAACAGGACAACTACAAGTCACTAACAAGTCTGAAGGAGCATCACCAAGGGCTAGGTTTGACCCATTCTATAACTATACTACCACTATAGAAAAAGTAGATACTCCAGAGATGAAGGAAAACTAAGAAGCTGACAGACTCAGCTGTCGTCCACACCCATCATCTAAACAGTGCATTAAGTACACATACCCTTACCTCCTCCCTGCTGCCCTCCTTCACCATTTTTTCCCTTTGCATTTGGTCTCACCCTCTGTCTCAGATGCAGGCTTGTGGTTTCTGAAGGGAAGTCAAGTTCCCAAAGATAAAACACTTGCATGTCTTAGCTAGAGACCAGAACCAAGGTCACATTTACTCAGCACACGCCACCAAAGTTGGCAGCCACAGAGCTGGAGCGATATCATTTCCAGGTCTGCACAGAGTCCCCATCCACCAGAGGTGGACAACATCCCCAAGCTGGCCCCTGCTTCAGCTGCAGTAGCACAGGAAGAGACTGAAGAAATGCGTGAATTGAAGCACTTGGCTTCAAGATAACCAACATACACAGCCTTATTTGAAAATGAACACCAGCACACTTGCAAGCAATTTGGGTAGAGAAAGGAGGGAAAATAAGTTATGGAGAGTATTCAGATGGCAGGAGAAGTGTATTGCCCTGGCGGTGCAGCTACAGGCTGAGATGGTTTGTTTACTCTTAATTATGTTGATTCTCGGTCTGCTAGATCAGGCTAAGAGAAAAACTGGAACATCATCTCCTCCACAACTTCTTCCTGTTAATTATAGAGATTTGTCCTTGGAGCATTTTTCATTTAAAAAATTGTCAGTAAACTAAATACCTTTGATTTATATTAGACTGTTGCTTCTCAGTTCTTAGCATTACAGCAGAAGGAAATTGTGTTGAAGAGGCCAAGGTATTTTTCTTTGAGGCAGAGAAGAAGGGGCCAGAGTTGAATGAAGAAAGGGAAGGGAAGCCCTTGGTGCCTGTCAAGCTTGAAGTGCGGTACTTTGTTTTTGACTGTCTTAAGGGTTTTGTTCTGTATCATGGCTGCTCTGCCACTTCTGGGACCAGGGTTTGCAGAGGCAATTTCCGTACACAGACACATGCAGGCACTGTAAATAGGGGTGGACGTGATTGTTTGCTGTATACAATGGGGACCAGTTGTATTTGCTTAAATTAGAAATCATAGGCATGCTTCCCTCCCTTCCTGTTTTGCCATTGATCTCGCTTTTGTGCATTGTATTTGCCATGCATTGCAGAGCTGCCAGAACTCTTAACTGAAGGCTGGCATCAATAGTGCAGCTGGTCAGCACATCCTTCCCATTGTTTGATCCTGGTTAGGATTTGGTTGAATTGGTTGATGCTAACAGCCTGGGCAATTGAAGTCAACAGATGGATCTGAAAAGTAAAATAAAATCATATCTTTTCCTTCTGTGCTATTATCTCCCTGTACACAAAAGCATTAGATCTCCAGGTCTGCCATTATGTATTTTGCTCAGTGGGACTAGAGTTTGGGGTAAGTGTGAATGACTGCACAAAGGAATAACCCAAAGCAGCGTTGGACAAGAGAGATGCTGGCTTCTTCTCATAAACAGAAGTTCTCAAATTCTCATGCTTTCATCCTTCATGTAATCCATAATCCATTGAAATAATAATCCAGGGAAAGTCAATTAAAGCAAAAACGAGAATTCTGCAATTTATTTTACTTACTGAGTGGAGAAGAATGAAATGAAGAAAGCAAGTTTTATTTTCCTTACCCACCACAATGGACCTCCAAACCAGCTGGGATTCTATTTCAAATAAGAAATGCCCACACTTACCTATTAATTGCTGGTGATGTTTCTGGAAATGGTAGGCAAATTCTCTCCTCCTTTGTTGCCTTAGCCCATAAAGGTTGAGAGGAGCATAGGAACTGGCACCATCTGTTGTGATTGGCAATTATTATTTTATTATACAAACACAACAAAACAGAAGTACAGATACATTGAAAAATGGCATAATAATGACAAGCAGAGCTGGATACTGTTTTGCTCAGTTTCAAATATTGGCTATAGCATTTACCTATGTTTGCCTATGAGGACAGAATAGGTTAATGTACTGCCATATCAGAACTGTGCACATGTGACTCTTAATTCAATAGTCATGACACAAACTCTCTCTAAGGATCACATTTTCCTTCTGGGCAAAACACTAGTGCACTGAAAGAAAACTGCAATCTTTTCCTTTAAAACTGCTAGACAGGAGAGGGGAAAAGATCCCTGCAGTGTGCTGTGAACTGTATACTCATTAGGGACTTAGTCCTACAAGCTGAGTTCTCTGGCCCAGATCCAGGAAAGCACAAAATATACATTTAATTTTCAGCATGTGAGTAGTGTCATTAACTCCAAGCACACGCTTACATGCTTTTCTCATTTTTTTTTTTCCTGCTTTTGGTTCTGTTTTTTAATATAAAAGGCAGCAGTGGATTTTCGGGGGTAAGAACATTTTGGAAGGGACCTAAAAGAAAGCACTATCCTTCCTACTGCATATGAGAATAGCTAGACAGTGACATTGAATCTTTCTGATTGACATGATATTCCTGCCTGAATACCGTATTTCAAATGAGCTTTGTCAGGCAGACCTCTAGCTGTTTGCATGCATATTGATTCATGCTGTTAAACTGGGCAGCCTGGGGAGAAGGGAGGAACTAACTGGCACATTTCAGCAAATGATGCATACTCTTCTCATTTCAGACAGACTGTAGTACTAAGTGTACTATATTTTGACTCTAAGGAAAAAGGGAGTTATGTAGTTCTCTTGCAGATGTACAGAAATTACTTTTCCATAGAGTTATAGTGATGTTATAGTAACATAGTGTCTATTCCAGCTTCCATCCCAACATGCACATGGTTGCCTCCAGGTATGCATCTTCCTTGTCCCCATTTGGTATGGTTCTGTCAGGAAGGAAAAGCCTTCTGGAGACTACAATACTTATACTGAAAGCTTCCTCTGCAACAGACCGTGTGTCTTCAGTGAGGAGCCTTGGAGAAATTTTTCCTCCTATGTCTCTATCTGCAAATTGCCCCATTGTGACTTACGTGAGGAGACACACAAAGTGAACTCTTGGCTTCAATGAAGTAGCAAAACGCATGATGAATTTAACATTATCTCAATTTCACCATCATGCTTTCTTCAGTGTCACTGGGAAATGAAGGGTTTCTTCTTAATATACTTCCTTCTTAAACTGATACATGATGTTATGCCTACTTTGTGTGTGAAGGAACCAACCAACAGAGACAGGGTTTAATGCCATGGCTATACAATGAGACAGTGGCAGAGGCCACATTAAAATTAAGTAAAAGCAAAGCAGTAGGCTTGTGCCCAAGCCATTAGACAGTGTGGCTGCTTACAGGATCTGACAGGCACTCGGTAATTGTGGGCGACTGTAATGCTTTAGAGGCTCACCTCCATCTATACAAGCTGCCTGTCCTCTCTAGTATAAGCATGCAGTGGGTGCTGCAGGTGGGAGCTGCAGGAGTTCCACTTTTGGGGCTGGGAGCCCACAGGCCTGCCACACGGCGGTCCTCGTGCCAGGGGTTTCTGTGGCGTGGGCAAGGCGTCAGCAGGCAAGTGCCTGTGGGAACTGGCCTCACCAGAAAAGCTCTCTACTCCACCATGCTCACCATCAGTCCTGTCTGAATGCTGCCAAGCAAGGTATGTGCAAAATAAATTGTCTGGCTTCTTTCCCCTCAAATAAATACAGAATTTCCTTGGAGATTTGGAGAAAGTTTCAATGTAGGGCTGATTTTATAAAAAAAAAAAAGGGTTTATCCAATACAGAAAATTTCTCAATATTGCAGAAAGAGAGCTATGTTAGCATAAGGTTTAAGCATAAGGTTTAATAAGGTTTAATTCCAGTAAGGAATGTTCAACAAGCAATTAAACTTTTTAACCAACATTATTTGTCTCATATATGGTATATATACATCCCAAAGTCATTTCATTGGTACTGTTCTGTAATAAAAAGGCACTATTCAAAAAAAATTGTGAGACACTGTGCCTGGTATCTTATGAAAGTTCTCTGGAGAAAAAATAGGCACAGGCATTGAAATATATTAAAATGTGAGCCCTTTTTGAAGGAGCCAACTTTAAAAATACTAATAAGACGGCCTGAAAACCAGAGACCATCCCTTCTGGCATATGTGTATCATATGAAAGCCAGTAACTTTTGGTTATCTCAGTATTCCCAGAAATTATATTAAGCTGAAACACAGCTCAAGCTAACATAAGCATCAAGTATATACTGGGAACTTTTAATGCTAAACAATAAGCCAGCTTTATTACAGTAATTATTGATAATATGAGGGTTGTGCTGGTATTTAGTCATAACTGTATACAATTATTGTTTTTCTACTGTAATCATTGGCTATGCAGTTACAAGGGACCAATAAGTTTGTAATTAGTGACAAAGATTTCTTTTGTTGTATATAAATGGAGTAAAAGCCTCAGGCTAATTTTACCAGCATGTTCATATGATATCACTTCCTGAAAATACATGAAAGTTTAAAAAAAGTATATACACAAAGCAGAGGCTGTATGAGTTTTAAAGAAAAAATGACCTCAAGAAATATGCTGGGTTTCTACCTCAGAAACCTGATTTAACATTTAACTATAAAAATAGTTGCACTGCTCCTTAAAATCAAGTCTTTTTTACCATGTCCTGAAATCTGTTCTGATTTTTTTCTGGCTTGCCCAAATACACCACAGATTTTCTAAAGGATTTGTCAACTTCAGATGAGTTTAGATTTCTGATTGAACTGAGAAGTTCTTTTTGTATATTTTTCTGACAGAAGTTTCTCATGCCTCTAGCCCCTGGCCAACAATTTTATACTTTCCTTAGGAATTTGGATGGAAATGTCACTAAATTCCTCTTCTCCTAGAAAACTGATTTTGTTCTTGCATCTCTGTGTGGAATAGTGTCATATTTACTGCTAGCCATTGGTAGGAGTGAGTGAGCTGATCCAAAAGAATGTAAGAACCAGCTGTTATCCAATTCCCAAATCAAACTGATGCCATTGAGGTTGGTTACAGTGAACTTATTTCGCATTTCCATTTCTTCTGTACTATTTGGATTTGGCCAGCAACTGAGATACTGAAATGCTGTGAAGAAGGCCAAGAGGTTTAATTACATTCAGATGAGATTTTGCAATCTGTTCCTGTATAAGCATATGATCTTTGCATGAATACTGCTGGTTAAAATGAATTAGACCAAAGGAGTGAAAATTCATGACCTTTAAATGTGACTCGTCATTAGCAATGAGACCCTATGTTTTCTTCACATGTGTCCTAAAGCACAATTTTGAAATTTTTACCAATAATGCAAAATGCCTGTATGCTTGCTGTCGCATCATCATAGGCAAGATAAGATGGGATGCCAACGTGGCATTTTTGGGTTACTCAGTCATTCTTCTGAGTGGGGATATTAACTGAAACCATTTTTGTGATGCTTCTGATGATACCAGAAGATCTGAATGATCCTAATACTGACTCTGAGGAGGTCTCTTTACATTAATCTTTATTTAATGAACTGAAAAACTACAAAGACAATATTACTCTCTAGATCATGCACTTTAGCTCTGTAGCCTACTGGGGCCTGTAGGCTGGTATCAGGGAAACATTGCTCTAGAGACTTGGCTCATCTAAGGTATCTTTCATTGGAGTGCTTTCTGGAGACATGCCATGCAAATCTTCAGTTTCTTTCAGATCGCTCAATATAGAGAGCCATGGAATAATACAGCCAATCCATTCTTCTGAATCCAGGTAATTTTATTCCCTCATTGTCTGAGCTAGACTTCCTGTTTCTTGGCCAGAAAAGAAAATATAAGTAATAAAATGAATACAGATGATCTTCTAGATAAGAATGCCCAACTCTCATCTGTCACTCTGAGCATTCACTACTGTAACTGCACAGGTCTACAGAAAACACTGGAAGAAGTTTTATGAAAAATGACATTAGGGATACAATACCAGTATGGGCAGAAGTATACTAAAGCATGCTCCAAATAGAGGCAATTACTATGCTGGTAAAGGGCAACCAAAAACTTATTTTGAATAAAAGAAACAGTTCTGGCAGAAGCATAAAATTGCTGGCAAAAGTGCATCTGCCCCTAAGGGTTTTGACCAGCAAAGCACTGTCAGTCAGAGCTCACACTCAGACATCGCACCTCCCTATGCTCTGACTGACATAGTTATTCTGGTAGATGTCTGTGATGATCTGTTTTAAGTGTGTATTACAGAAGGAAAGTTTTCACACTCTATAGATCCTGGTGATAGCTGAGTAGTGCAGGATTTACAAATGCTGAGTGATCACACAAACATTGAACACACAGCCATGTTCATGATCATATCTGTTTTGCTTATTTCTTTAAGCCCAGTAGATCTGAATTTTGAAACAGTGATAAATGAAAAATTCATACAATTGAGCCACTGCTTTCCTGGATACATGGGAAGGCATTGTGCAATGCTAAAACCAGGGCTCTTGTGGGCTCACAAATAAATGATTATTGCCATTAACATTCCTGAATGCTGATAGCTGGGGCACATGAGCACATCCAGCCTTGCCAGCTTGCTCCAATTCACTGGGAAGGAGCTGAATAAAGAAATCTAAAAGGACATTAGAAGCAAGATCTCACCACAGATCAGCAACGACTTGAAAACTGCCACACTGAGTGGTAAATCAGGTTCCTTAAGATCATAGCATGACTTCAGGTGTAAAAGCCCCACATAAGCATCTGACAGTGTAAGGCAGCCATGCAAGCGCAACCCCTGGGAAGGGATGGCACTGCAGCCTTCACAGCCCCCGAGAAGCTCACCCCAACCACAAATTGGTGCACAGAGCTGGTGTTTCTCATTACAGTTGCTGCAGTAATATTAGGCTCCAGCATTCCAGCAGAGATTCAGACCTATATTAAATTAAACACACATACACACACACAAAGAAATTTAAATAACTTTAAGGGTCAGAGCAAAACCAACAAAAGCCAGAACATATACATTACAGCCAGTACACTCTGTTCTTCACTTGCACTGTTTGGGGAAAAGTAGCTCTGAAGTTAACACCAGAGAGCTTAATTAGGGATGTGGTGTTCAGCTGGCTTGGGGAACTTCAGAGGGCTTGCTCCCTGGGCTCCACTGGTCTCTGGAGGCTTCCCAGACTGGTTACCTGATTTCTTAGAAAGAGAGAGGAGTTAAATGTTATAAAGAATGTTTAAGAAGCTATTGTGCTTTCACAAATTAATAGGAAAAATATTAATTTGGAAGGTTATTTGTATTGTATTGAATAACACAGTGGCTCCTTCAGATTTTTCAACCCTACCAGTTAAATATCATACTGGAGCAACAGTAGTCATGTCACATTCAGGATTTGCCCCCAGCTCTTGTTCTACTGAGTTTCTATTCTAAACTTACTTTTGTTTCCACCTTTCTAAAGTCTACCAAAAAAAACCCAGTAAACAAACTTCTTGGTGGGAAGATTTACAATTAAGGTAGGTTTTTTTCCTGCCAGTTTGGAAAGGCTTTAGATGACAGATTTCTGGAGTATGGAACCCAGATTTCTTTTTAATTGTTCAATTTTTTAATTTTTCAATTTTTCATTCTGAGAGGAAAAAATTAAAGAAAATTAAAGATAATGGGCCCCTCTAGCTGAGATGTACAACTGAATGCCAGTGTTCACTTAAGCAATCTGAAATAATAAACATTAGTAATGTTTTATCTAAATATATTAATGAGCATGAGGTTAGAAAGATTTGTACCCATAATGAGTAATAAAACCAGAGATGTAGACTTTTCTCTGCAAAAAAAAAAAAAAAAATCTTTTTCATTTGAAGATAAACTATAAGATATAACAGAATAGCTAGGAAAGTGTCCTTATGGGAAAAGGACAGGTGTGCCAGATTCAGCTATCTGCCCAGGTGAATGGAGTTTACAGGTCACTTGATGGAAGCATATGATTCAGAATGAGAGCAAGTGAAAGGCATGAAACACAGCCTGAGCCCACTTGCTGGGAGGCAATTTATAGGCAGAGCCCAAGCAGCTTGGTGAATTTTGTGCTTATTTGCTGTTGTGTAGAGGCTTGGTAGAGTGCAAATGGCAGCTAGAGTTGTGGAGCCTTGTAGCATGGTTCAAAAGGGGGAAAGGTTGAGGACTGTAGACTAGCTTAGAGTGTATTGGAGAGAGACTGTCATTTGGATCTTGCTATTTCTCTACCTTTCTGCTCCTCTGCAAATTGAAGTTTCTTTCTTTCCTTTTCTAAATGAGACAGACTGCATCTCCTGCTTCATCCTACTAGGTCCTTCTCTCTGTAAGGTGAGATATTTTCTCTTGTGTTCTCTCATGTGCTTCCTGAGGTGCTGTGCTAGTATCTTCCAACCTGTACCAACTTGGCTTCCCACTGACTAATGGTAGTTTGAGATGAAACCTGAATGATAGGAGAGATTTTGAGCAGCAGCCTGTAGAGGGACTGGATCCTGGGAGCCTATACAGGATGGAGAGTGTGACATCTCATCTCAGGTTTTTCACTAAGACAAGTCACTAGGCTGCAGCTTGGCATCTCCTCAGAGATGGCTCTTCTGGAAGTGTGTTTTGACCTTTATCATCTAGCAGTTTAGCTGTGTGTATTACAATAGGGATATTCTATGGGTGATGCAGATAAGTAAAATGGTGCTATTGCTACCTTCTTAGCATGTAGGAAGTATGGAAGGATAGTTACTTTGAGGAAAACAAAAAAACACCACCCTCTCCAAAGCCAAGGGCATGCTAAGAGTGTTCAGCCTTGCTTCTGGCTTCAGGAGCTGTCAGTTTGTTGAATAGAAGTGAAGCCTGTGAATTTAATCTAGTCTGTCTCATCTCGATACCTGGGGCTTCTGAAAAGATGATTCCCCCTGCCAACATATAGAAAATTGTATCAGTGTTGGTCACATCATTCTTCTTGAACTAGCCAATAAGTAAATTAAGCATAAGTGAAGGAATAAGATGCTTTCTAAGGGGAGAAAAGGGAGGAAAAAATCCTTATGTGGATGGGCTGTTAAAACCAATGCCACTGAAGGGAATATGTATTTATCTCTTGAGTTTAGCAAAACACACATTTTGGTCTTGCCTCAACAGTGCCAAGTGTTGCTGAATCATTCAGTCAAAACTAACATGTGAAAAAACACTTATGCAAGAGAAGTAGTCTTCACAAGTATGGGAAGGGATTTTCAGTATAATGGGAACTGAGAGAAAATAGTTACTTAAGGAGCTGTATTCCAGTATGAATTCAAAGCTCTTTTGAGCTACTGGTGGCATTAAAAGGCCTGCTTATTGCAGCCACCAGCAAATGCCACAGATTCCTGAGGAGAGATGTGGAAACCTTACCAGCTCATTTCTCTTTAAATTACATTTGAGAGGGAAAAATGGAAATCATCAAGGGAGCAATGCAAAAGAATATACTCTGAGCCAGTGTGATTTTTTTTTTTGTTCACCCTTTGGTGTAGCATCTGTGCTCCAGATATCCATTGGTATATGTGAGTTGCTGCAGATGCAACTGCAGAACGGAGCAAGCATGCATTGCTTGATTTGGGGAAGTTTGGCAAGGGAATCTAGCAGAGCCTAAAGCTGTCATGATTTAGCAAAAATTCATTTTCAGTTATAGCTGATTGAAATCAGCAGGATTTTGTCTTTAAGGTTTACTGGATTTGGCCATTGATCTTGAGAAATTTACATTTCTGTAGGTATTTGTGCACTCAGCTTAAGTCAATATATCTTCCTTCCTATGAGAAAATATGGCCTGTGTGTGCCTTTCTAAAAATGGCAAAAAGAGGAATTATCATGAAGTTAACCCTAAGTAAATGTTTTCTCACTGATACCCTTGCCGTTCTGTGACAGTTAACAAAATGTGAGCAAAAAATTAATGGCAGGAACTGAAGCTCTGATGCTTAAGAGAGGATCATATTTTTTGTCATGTTGGGGGAAAAAAAGTGTTTTGTATTAACAGATAGAGGAGTGAATGAATCTCAGCAACGAAAGACTTGGATGGTTTGAAACTGGCTTCTATGAACATCTTGTTTATGGTATTTCCTATTTGTAGACATTTATTTCCTTCTTGTTGAAGTCAATAAAAAGTTATAATTATTTTTAAAAACATTGTAATTCTTTAAAAACAGATGTAAGTGAATACCTGAGAAGTACAGTTCCTAAAGGCCAGTAGTACCAAGGATTAGTAAGATTTTTCACTTCTGTCTATTCTCTTTGTGGGATGTCTCTCTGTATTTTGAGATGCGCATACCTATGTTTGCTCCATGAGTCTGGGCTCAGTATCTAGAGGTCTTAATATAAGACCTGAAGGTATTTCATCGAGATGGTCTATGTTGAATTGTTTCCATTTGTGGTGTGATTCACTCGAGCAATGGAGAAGATCCCATGCTGCTCGCTTAAAATGTCAGTCTGATGTTATGCTTTACCATATCAAGCATCTCCCCAAGCATTTGGAGAAACAGGTCTTGTGCTCGTAGTCCCTAGGACCGTGTGTTTCTTTGTCTGCTTATTCAAACTCGTGTCAGTCTGTTGCTATCTGGCCTGCAGCGTATAACAGGAAATAACACAATAAAGCAAAACCAACTGTAGATATGATATTAGCAAACACAGATCCTCTCATTTCACAAAGATTTGAAACTTCCAATAGTTTTCCCAGACTAGTATCCATTGTCTGTAATAAAACAGTTTGTAACATGCTGATTAACTGTTACTGTTAATGAACACAATCCCTGAAGAAACTTAAGTATCACCTTCTTGATTAAGTAGAGCATGTTAATGATGTGCTATGTTTTAATGTCTAATAGGTAACTAATGACAAATATGTGTCATGTGGACAACTGGGCCACACTGTGCTATGACAGTTATTTTACATGTAGTTTTAGGTGCATCCAAGAGCCACAAACCTGTTGCAGCACTACTCACTCAGAAATTCTGATGCAAATGGGCTGCTGAGGAGATCACTGCTCCATAAGGTTTCCTAGTTCTTAGTATTTCCTAGTATTGCTATATGCTTGCAAATGGACTGAAAAGCTTGAGAATATAACTGAATGTCCTGAGTAATTTTCAAGAAAACTAGCCTGTTGGAGCAAAAGGATTGTGGTCACAGGAAATTTTAGTTCATTTGTTCAATTTATGGGTTTTTGAGGTCTAACTGAAAAAAAAAAATCCATTGCAACTCTAAGCTCAAATTCAACCACTTAGAAACATCCATCTCTGTTCTATACTGCTACTACTAATTTTTACATGAAATCCACCTTAATTACCAGTTATGCATAAACCACAGTTCAGCTGCTGAGAAAAGTATAGGACTTGGTGCTCTTGAGGAATACAGCAGCTATAAAGGCAGTGTAGACACATTCAGGTAGAAAATTGCAATGCCTCGTCATTAAAAAGTTGAGTGCAACCCACCCTATATAAAGACCTATGCAGACATTTCTAGCTTTAGAATCAGATAGGGCTCAGCAGTGAGAAAGGCTTAATCTAGGCCTTCTACATCCACATTTATAGGTTATAAAAATGGGGTCATCTTAGCATTTCAAATGTATCAATCTATTTTGTAATTGATCTACCATTAGTATCTAATGAGTAGTTTGGACCTGTTACTGCAATGTATTCTGCAGTGTACTATGTTTTTTGAGCTCATGGTAGAAAATTGCATGCATCATGCTAGCCAAAGATCCTCTCAGTTATCTCACATGCCAACTGTAGAAATTACATCCTACGAGCTTTATAAATGTTGCAATGTTGACCTCCCTTTTAATCAGAGGGAAGTCTGCACAAAGAGCAAAGTGAATGCAAAGGGAGGATGGGACCATCTGCCAAGGATGGCAGAGGGTGCATACTTTTCAAATCATCTCTTTCTTTTTGATCATCTGGAGCTGGCTCTCCCTGTTACAGCTTGGTAGATCTTGGTGGACATGTAAGTCTGAAGCCCCCTTTCCCCACAGTGTGGAAAAGGGATGTATCTTATCAGCTGGAGGGGTCTTCAGGGGAAGATGGAGGAGGGAAATACAAAGCCCATCTTCCCACAGCCTCTCAGGCAGCTTCCACAGCCTCTGTCCTCTTATTGCTCTTTCAAGTCTATTGGGCCACTATCCAGTGCTTATCTGTCTGTCACTTAACAAGCTCAAGCTGTGGTTTTCAGGCTGATAAATAATTA